CAAAAAATAGAAGCAATTTAGTATGTAAGACTTTGCGAGAGAGCATTATCATTATAACTATAATAGGATCTGTAGGAAAAAACATACCCATCAGAGCATTTCTATTTACACAAATCAATAAAATACATAGTGAATATGCTATCAAGGCGTCTCACTAATTTCCCAACCTCATCAAGAGGCAATAAATCCCAGGCCCTCAACACTTGTGTGTTGTTCAAATCCTTCTGAATGTCAATGGTGCAGATATTAATGTAGTACCCTTCAACCTTAAATTGTTTCACACACTTTTTCTCTTTGGTCTCCATCCACTAGCAAGCTTACGTAAATGATTAAGCACTGCCATTCTCAAGCGGGATGACACAATGTTTTTAAATGATTTTTTGAAATTGTCACTCAATAGAACCTAACAACATATTAAAGGAAAGCAAAACCTCAAAGAAACAAGTCATATTACTAAAACTTAAAAGAATGGAGTACTCGTTGCGGGTAATTGGCATTCATCACCTACAAGAATTGCTCCGTCTTGAGTTCCGAGGCCACCACCAGCGCCACCGCCCAACGCCCACAACTGACGACGGAGTCTGCCTGACTGCCTCGCTGCCAGGTTCAACTCCGATCCCATGTTTAATACTTCAATTTGATTTATTTTGCCCTAATGTGATTGATTTTGTGATTTTGCCCTAAATCCTAATTTGTTAAATCCTAAATTCTTAATCTGCCAATGTTTGGGTTCCATTGGATAAATCCATTTATGATTCATTAGTGTTTTTTTTTCTGACCTGTAGACAATAGATTCAGCAAACAAAGAAGCCTGCAAGTTTTGCCCTAATGTGATTGATTTTGTGATTTTGCCCTAATTTGATTGATTTTGCCCTAAATCCTAATTTGTTAAATCCTAAATTTCTAATCTGCCCATGTTTGGGTTTCATTGGAAAAATCCATTTATGATTCATTAGTGGTTTTTTTTTTTTTTTTTTTCTTGAACTCATTCAGTAGACTTTCAAGATTCAGTCGTTTTAAGTAAAAACATCATTTTCTTGAACCCATTTATGGTATTGGCACAGGGATCCTAATAGTTGTTACTCAGTCAAAGACGGCTATAGACGCATAGTTGGAGACTAATAATGGGGTTTTTGATGGATGGTTAGCCTTATGGAAAACACCACCCAAAAGAAAAACATTTCTATGGAGAGCTCTAAGTGATATTCTCCCCACTAAGAGCAATTTGATTATAAAGATAATAGAGGTGGACCCGATGTGTGCCATGTATGGGATTGCTCATGAAAATATTTTGCATTCATTAGTATCGTGTGATTATGCAAGATCCATTTGGAGCCAATCTAGCCTCCCACTTCCCAACATTGTGACAAATATTTTCCATGAATGGTTTAGTGCACTCTTAAATATTCTAGACACTAATGGAATATTGTATGCAGCTTCTATTAATAGAATTATTTTATATCATATATGGAGAGCAAGAAACAAAGTTGTTTGGGATGCCTGTCTACCGTTGCCAAAGAAGGTGCTTGTGGCAGCTATGGCCACTATGCAAGCGTGGAACACGCTCCACCACCGAACGCCCACACCAGCCGCAAGGGACCACCACACGGCCGATGGAGCTGGTCACGCCGCACAGCAGGTTGGCCTCTAGCCGGTGATCTCCGTTGTGGCCGAAAACATGCATCAACCGCCGCTGCCACGGTCCGACCACCCCGGAAACACCAAGACCCAGGAGATGCTACATGGATGCAAGCTATCACCAGGATACCAGCTCAGCAGCGGTGGGGCCGGTACTACTAGATGCCGACAATCACTATATCTCGGCTTTCAGCGCCCCACTACTGAATTGTTTTTCCTCAGTCATGGCTGAGGCATATGCATGTAAAGAGGTTTTATCATGGTTAAGAGGACGTGGCGAAGATTCAATACGACTACATACTGACTGCCAAACGCTATAACGCTATCTATGCGCACCGAATACCCCGTCCAGGTCATATGTTGGATATGCTATTGATAGTTGCAGGAATTTTATGTCTACTTTAAGTTTTTGCTCAGTCAATTTTGTTCCTAGACTACAGAATTTATTAACACATACTTTAGTTACTTTAGCTTTAGATTCGACTCCAGCTATGTACTGGGACGATGTCCCACCAAACTCTATTTCAGTTTATCTATAAATACCCTTAAAACAAAAAAAGTAAAAACATCATTTTCTTGAACTCATTCAGTAGACTGAATCTTGTTTTAAGTAAAAACATCATTTTTTTGAACTCATTCAGTAGACTTTCAGGATTCAATTGTTTTAAGTAAAAACATCATTTTCTTGAAGATAATCTTCATGTTTTTCCTCATTTGCAAATGCTTTTATACGTTGTGATGTTTTCTAATAACACAATGTGGAATCCTTCATATTTCTCCAGAGTCCACCAAATAACTATATCAGTGAAGTCATCTTTGGGCCAAGCTTTCCTCTTCGCAGAAGAAACTGTTGAGATTAATAAGAACAAGAAACAATAATAATGGCAAAAAAGGGTAAAGAGGACAAGATTTACGTGGTTCGGCAAAGTGCCTACATCCACGGAAGTGAAACTATTCTTATATTCATAGTGATGGTGATAGTGGTGACACAATCCTTTAGGGATACAACCAATATATTTATAGGCATCCAATCCCTATACAATAGGTCTACCCGTTTCACTCCTACTCCTAGTATGAGACAAACACTTATTCCTAATCCATATATGAGACAAACTCAACAATCTCCACCTTGGCGAATATGTTCTTTAGGAGAAAAGATAACTCAACAATTCTCCACCTTGACGAATATGCTCTTTAGGAGAAAAGACTTATCTCACCATCTCCACCTTCACATATATGCCCTTTAGGAGAAAAGACTTCTCCACCTTCGCAAATATGTCCTTTAGGACAAAAAGATAACTCAACAAATCTCCACCTTAGCAAATATGTCCCTTAGGAGAAAAGACTTATCTCACCATCTCCACCTTCACAATTATGCCCCTTAGGAGAAAAAAACTTATCTCACATATACACATGGGTAGGAACAATCATTCTCATCCCAACTAGCCAGTCATATGCACCACGCAGCATCAAACGTTTTCCAGCATGTACACGAACCGCTTTGTCCCAAGCTATTCGCCCCCACAGCCGTCGACCTGTTATATCAGCCGCGACTCATGCTAACTGTCTCGTTTAGCTGACCTTCTGCATCCGGCTCATACCAGGTCCATATCCCCTCCTGGTATCCACGCTGCTCCAACACAACAGCGCCCCTGCAAAGTCTCACTAAACCCGTGTGCCTTGCCCAATGCTCCACTAACCAGTAATTTCCACTAGTCAGCAACACGCACCACGCAGCATCAAACGTTCCCAGTGCATGTTCACGAACCGCTTCATCCCGAAGCGTCCGCCCATACCAGCCGTGACTTATGCCATGGAAACGTATTCACCATGAATGGTGAACACGGGTCCAAACGGAGCTGATTTTACGTATAAAAAAAAAAATCGCTAATGTGGTGTTAACGGCGCGCGTTTGGTCAGATTATGAATTTTCTGTTATGAGATTATGAATGTACTGAAAATTCATAATCTCATAATAGAAAATTCATAATCGCATAAAAGAAAAACATTTATTAAATTATGAATTTTTTGTTATGAGATTATGAATTTACTGTAAATTCATAATCTCATAACAGAAAATTCATAATTTCATAACAGAAAATTCATAATTTATGAATGTTGAAGAAACTTGCGCTACAGAGGATCAGCCATGGTTTTGGACGGGAATATGTAGGCATGGTTCCAAAGTGAATGTGCAGGCATGGATTCATAATTTGTGAATGTCCGAAATCATTCTCACCTCAAATTAAAGTGAAACCGCGAAATGTGAAAATGAAAAAGAAAATTCAAGCGATTAATTAAGGAAAAAAAAAAAAAAAAAAAAAAGATAACAGTGCACTAACACCGTTGGGACGGTTCCATGGCATAACGATTGTGTATTTTATGGGTACGTAGTTTTGTATGTATATATACACAGATCGAGATACACCCACATAGAAATCACTGGGAGTTTCTTTGCAACGTAAAACGAACAAAGATGATCAAAGATTCAAAGACACGAAACCTTACTTGGAAAATGGTACGGAGTAGAAGGAGAGAGAAGATTGTGGAGATGAATAGGTGACGAATAAAAACGATTATTATATATATTCATTTTCTCTCTTTCACATAGCTCGAGACTACTACGTACATAATAATGTCCATCACAATTATTCATTCACTTGTCCCATGGAAATGAAAGCGGAAGCTGAATGTCCATTGAGGCACAGTTTTTTTACAAAAATGTGGAATATGAGAAATTTTACTTCAACAATTCATGCAGACTGTTTTTCTTTTTAGAGTTAATTTTATTTTTTGTCGATTTATAGATTTTAGTCTCTATTTTTTTTTTCATAACATCTCCTTTGGTCCTAGTATTATTGTAGCATTATTATTTTTTATCCTCTGTCTATAAAATTGTTAAAATGTTACGTTGTTAAATACACTAACATCTCGATCTTTTTTATATAAAGTGGATTGACTGATTATATTTTTATTTTTATTCTTATCCTTGAAAAAATGTCATAATTGAACTATTGAAGGTTTAAATGCCCTTATATTTTACATAATTAAATATCAATTTTATATCACAAATAACTTATAATTAAATTTACATTGAGACAGCCAAGCACCTTGTGCTTAGTGAGAAAGTATATTGAACAAATACTACCTTGTAATATAGTCGATAATACTTAAACAAATTACAATGAGAAATTAAGTGATTTAAAATGTCAATTTTATTTTCTTGAAAAAAAAAAAATACTTCAATTTATTTTTCACACTACACTAATAGTCATATAAGAGACAAGTATACAACTAATCCAGTAAAATTTCAGTTGAACCCTGTTTAAAAATAACTCTCTCAAATTGAATTCTCCAAATCATTTCTCAACCAACTCCACCAAAACTTTGCATTGCCAGGATATAACAGATGAACTCTGCTATTACAAATCAGTAATTTTTGTTTACCAGATAAGAGCAGTTCTACTACATATGATACCAGCTGCAGCTTCCCCTTCACCCCCAGGCTCCAACAAGGTAAAGATACTCATAACTCATACAGTAAATGATGCAGCTAATATGCGAAAAAGAGGAAACCCCAAGCACTCTCGCTATCTAAACGCAAAAAGAAGATGTACCGGTGGATTGTATATGACTCGCTTCCGTTTTCTTTTGTGTTCTCCCGTTTCTACTCATATTTTGAAGTATTTGTATCCGTCTTCAGGGTCTGTCATTCCATCTTCCCAATCACCCATGCGGCGACCACCAAATACTACCTGTTGAATGCCCAAGTATCTGCAGATAAAATTGCAAAAGATTGGTATGAACTATGGATGGATGTGTCTAAATGATATGAACTTCCCAAACATCTTGGGCAATAATTCCCCTCTTCTTGCGAGTTTCGTATCAATTTGGTATCAAAGCCTAGGATATCATTTCAAATTTGATTTTCCTAAGGTTTATATAACTAACAAATGGAATTCACAAATTCAGGGCTTACTCTGAGCTCAACGCAGTCAAGCAGTTGAGAAGCACATCAATAGAAAAGAAATCAGACGTGCCAAGATCTACCCTGTTATGTATGCACTGCATGAGCAAGCTTTACCAAATAAACCACAAAAAAAGGGGGGGGGGGGGGGGGGGGGGGGGGGGATCAAAAGAAGTCATACCAAACTCTACCCCAGTTGTCCTGGAACTCGACATCACTTATATCATGAAACGATGATGGCATCACCTTGGAACCCGCATCTTCATCGTAGAGAGGATTGTTGTCCATGGATGAGTTTGCCAACTGCATTCATTGAGTTATTGAACATAAAACATTTCCATTATTATTATCAAGGAGTACTTTTTTTACGGAGTCGCATTTTTCTTAAAGTTAAAAATATATTATTTCAAGAAGATTGGAGCATGGCCCTCAATAAATATAAATATTATAAGTTTCGAGGTGTGTTTGTAGCAAATATATCATGGCAATGCTCACGACAACTGTAACAAATACCACAACAGTAACATAATGTATTGAAACACTGACCTGCAAGTTAGATGAGTTGAAAGCACCTAAACGGCCCATGACATACCATGCCTGAACAACCTGCAATATGGCATCTCATTAATAGTTTTCGAAGAGCCAAAAGCTCCAAGCCTACTATGCGGCACATGATATCACATAAATCGAGAGTTAATAATTTCTTCTTGTGATGCAGGGGGCACCAAGGTGAAAGGAGAATGAATACAGTAGGGAGATGAAGAAGGGAGGAAACAATCAACTTACACTACCAATAAGTTCAACTTCCCGATCAGATGGTGCTCCATATAGTTCAAACCATATGTAGGAATCCAGCGGATTGAAACTGTCAAACCCAACACTATATGAGTAACATGTGACTAAAATACATCAAACAAAACAACAAACAAGTGTATTACACTTCAAGTTATTTTCAGTTTCCTTGCTGAGGTGGTCTAATTCCATCTAATATTTATTGACAATGTTCTTAACCCAACATAGTCATGGACTAAAACATTGAATCCGATCAATTAGTTAGTCTAACCCATATGTTTCTCTCTATTTTAGAAATGTGGGACTCTTAACAGACAACAACAATAGACGTTCAACGTCAAATGTGAATCATATAGGTAACAGATGTTAAAAGCAAGGTTGAAAAGATCGCTAGGCGCCTGGGGACCGCCTAGGGCGCCTAGGCCCGATTTTTGCAACACTGGTTAAAAGACAACAAAAGCAAAGGATTAATAAGAAAAAGAAAAGAGAAGCACTAGAGTGAGAATGACACAGAAGAAAAGTCGGAGAAAGATAAACAGAGAAGGCAACTAGTATACGATGGACAAGTTGATTACTCTCTAAAGCTGACTTTAAAAGCAAGGACAGATCCTGTTTTAGACTTGTGGAAATCTTGGCCCTTGGTTCGAACCCTTTCTTCAACCTATCAACAAAACAGATCAAAGTACTGAAGTGTGATATAAACATAATAGAAAGAAGTTCAGAAATACTATAAGAAGAAGAAGAATCATATCTAGATTAACTTTGCCATTTGGCAGGAGTCACAGACTACAACTTAACTGATTTAAACTATTTCGTTTCTCTGCTACAAAAGAATTTGGTTGCCAACCATATATCCATATGGAGGTGCTTTTGCCAAAAACTTCAGTTGGGGAATTGGGGCTATCCACACTCCAGAGGCATAGTTATTCAGACTTCTTAACAGTTAAAGTGATGTATGATCAAATGAACCAAGGGATCTATGGCTTTTCAAGAAAGCAAAAAGCAACCTCCACAAGGAAATGCTTACTTATAAATACACACAAGACATTTCTTCAAAGTGTTCCCTCCCTCTTGAAGGCATAAAATTTTCAAAAGCACACCCAATAATGTCTGCACCAATACTATTGAATATTCAAAAGCATTTGTTTTAAAGTGTTGTTTTTTGAATGCCAAAGAATTCTATATAGATATAATGTAGCATAAGGACCTACAAGAATCACGCTGCAGATATTATAAAAATGAACGAAAAAATTCCATCAAATTCCATAAGTTACCCTTTTCCTCATAAGCTCTGGGTTTCCTATACTATCCCCTAGAACAGCTCGGAGCTCAGTGTCATGCTGGCAGGCATCTTCCAGTACCCTGCTCAAAAAAACAAAGCAAGCAATGAATTCTACTTTCATTCCAGAAAAATTGCAACAATGAAAGAATATAATAAACAAAAAGAATATGTACTTGGCCCAAGCAGGATAGTTGTGAAGACGATCATATTCCCGTTTCCTCTTCTCCTCCCGGACCTTTAACAACCTCCTTCCTCTGGCTGTTGTCCCAGACCCTTTTGCAGCTTTCCCATTCAGACTCCTAGATATATCATTACCCGTCGACCTTGCAGTGGATCCAACACTTTCCTCTAACTCTCCATTATCCTTCAACTTTGAGGCTTGAACAAGCATATGCCCAGAATAACCCGAACAATTAATCACCAAACCGCAATTAAGGGAACACTCACTATTCTTTTGAGGCATTGCTAGGAAACGTGCAACTATCTGAGGGCACAAAGAAGTCTTCCATATGGTCAACTGAGAAGGCAGATAATGCCCACCAGCCGTATCTATTTTTCCCCTAGAAAAGCTACCCATCTGTATCTGCATAAATGATTCCAAATATACGCACATAAGCTCCAAGAATTCAACATTATTCGACTTCAAACTATAAACCTGCCCCCTATAATCAGAAACGCAGACGCATAACAATTAACAATTTATTTGCCACAGCATATGAATATTACTCCGTATTTCCGTAAAAACATGCTTGAAATTTTTCCTTTAAGCCTCGAGAAATCGAGAATTTCACGTTGAATGACACATACCAGTCTAAAACAACCAAGTAAGAACGAGAGGCATATGCAAGCGTATATGTGTGATGTTGTATATATACATATATGCAGCGAAAGAGAAGTACCATTGAAGGTGCAATAATGGCCGCCTATAAGCGGAAGCGTACGGGTGTAGTGGCAATAGAGCGGGAAACTGGGAACTGGTCGGACCGTCGGAGTCCTCAGTAGAGACGTAGAGTGTAGACGCCATTTTAGTTTAGATTATAGATAATTTAAATTTTAAGGATCCCCCCACAAGCTTTTATACTTCACAAATGCGCCCCCCAACTTTCCCGAAAATTATAAATGTCACCTGTTTATCCTTTGATTAGGGAAAGCCCGTTGGCCGGTACTCCCGAAATCCACCTTGTGATTCTAATCAACAAAAAATTACAAAGAAAAAGAAAATCAAAACAACATATCTCATGAGAAATCGCATTTAAAACCTTGTAGTTAACCAATCAAATGTCGAACCAATTTGACTGAAATTTATCCCGATCTGCTTATCCTTCTATTGGACCATGGACGGTTTTTGCTTTTTTTTTTTTTTTTAATCCTTGGAGCTACCATGACTTCAATTATTAACCAAACAGATTCCATCAATCTAACATTTTGTAAACCAAACGTCCCATTACAATTACTCAAAGTTGTGGCACAACTCCATGAATTCTTTAATCTATGATCTTATTAACAAAATTCAATAAACCTGATCAATGGGTACATTGTCTTGAACTCAAATTTCAAAAATATGAAAAGCTTCAAAGGACAACTATCCTTTCAGTTCAAAGTAATATTTCTAACCAAAATCTCTGAACTATTCCTCATATTCCCAGACAGGAGTTTGAATACAAGAAAGAGACATTATGAAGGCTTTCACCAAAGCAAAGTAATGGGAATACAAGGAATATAGGTTCATCTTCTATCTTAACAAAAGATCAAACTACCTAAACGATTTGCACAATTACCCAAAGAACTCGTGTGTCTCCAACAGCGATCTAAACTGGCCTCCATGTCAAATGCCTGCCTGTTGCATTCAAGATTATAGAAGCAGTTCGGATTCACTCAATTTGAATATTGAATGTGACTAAGCTTTTCGGTGTCTTCCATCTTCACAGTAGCCGGCTGAGTGACTTGATAAGCAATTTTAGATTCCGTCTGGTCGCTTCATCACCAGTGAATCCTAATATGTCGGAGCTTATACTCTGCACGGTTTGATTGACACTGAATAAGAAAGAACTAAGTGCTTGCATAATTATCCAAGAAAACTTGGCCAAGCAACACATACCTCAATGTTCTTCAAAGTGAAAACCAGTGTATATACAGACTTCCTTATTAGTTCTGTATTCTCAGGAGTCATTACAGATGAATGTACTCTTCTGCAGTTTCAATATGCAAAATACTGTAAGCCTAAATGTTCATATCCACATACTGTGTGTCCAATAATACATACTCTGTCGGGCCAGGGTGTGGGGGGCCCTTGGGGTTGGGGATTCAACATTTTGGGAAGAACATACAAGAAGACAATCCCAGGTTGTACAAGCTAAAGAATGCTGTGTATGCCAATGCAAGATAATAATAGATTTATCCTCAATTACGCATAACAATTCACATTGGACTAATATTTAAATTTATTTAAAAAAGAATGTTACTACAAAGGGGAATTTCAAAATTCAATTTGCAATAATTAATGGCTTCTAGAGTGATGTGTTAATTGTATTAATTGAAAGGAATTACTATGAATGTGAATACGCTTTACTGAAAATCAGTATTGATGAAAGTAAATGGCATGTTCACTTAGGGTCCGTTTGGAAAGCAGGAAAATGACTTCTGGAAAATGTTTTCTGGAAAATGAGTCATTTTCCGGAAAACATTTTCCTTTCCAGTGTTTGGTTGCATTATGGAAAACTGTTTTTCTGTGTTTGGTTCATTTTCTGGAAAATGAGTAGAATTGTATAATTAAACATTTTAATTATTTTATTTAGAATATTACAACATGTATAATAATATATAATATTAATTTTAAATATAATAAAAAATAGCTAAGTTTTTCAAAAAAAAAATTAATAATATATCAAAAATATTATGGTGATGGTGGTGGTGTAGTGGTAGTGGTGTTATTCTTTATATAATAATAATAATAATAATAATAATAATAATAATAATAATTGGTGGTGGTATGGCGGTGGTGGTGTGGTGGCGGTGGTGGTTGTGGTGGTATGGTCGTGGTGGTGGCGGCGGCGGTGGTGTGATGGTGGTGGCGTTGGTTGCGGTGGTATGGTGGTGGTAGCGGCAACGGTGGTTGCGGTAGTATGCTAGTGGTGGCGGCGACGGCGGTAGTGGTGTTGGTGTGATGGTGGTGGTAGTATGACGGTGGTGGCAGTGGTTGTGTGGTTGCGGTGGTGGTGGTGGTGGCGGCGACGGTGGTATGGTAGTGGTGGTGGCGGCAGTGGTTGCGGTGGTATGGTGGTGGTGGTGGTGGCGGCGGCGGCGGTGTGATAGCGGTGGTGTGGTGGTGGTGGCGGTGGTATGGTGGTGATGGCGGTGGCGATGGTATGGTGGTGATGGCGGTGGCAGTGGTATGGTGGTAGTGGTGGCGGCGATGGTGGTTGTGGTGGTGGTGGCGGTGGTAGCGGTGACGGTGGTTGCAGTGGTATGGTGGTGGTGGCGGCGACGGTGGTGTGAAGGTGGTGGTGTGGTGGCGGTGGTATGTGGTGGTGGTGGCGGCGGCGATGGTGGCGATGGTATGGTGGTGGTGGTGGTGGTGGTAGTGGTTGCGGTGTTGGTGGTGGTTGTGGTGGTGGTGTGATGGTGGCGGGGGTATAGTGGTGGTGGCGACGGCAATAGTGGTGGTGATGGTGGTATGGTGTTGATGATGTTGGTGGTGGTGTGATGTTGGTGTAAAAGTTGGAAAATGACTTCCCCCCAAAAAAAGGGGAAGTCATTTCCCTCCAAAACAAGCCTATTTTCCAAAGTCAACGGAAAATGATTTCCGTTGACTTGATTTTCCAGGCACATCCAAACACTGAAAACTTGGAAAATGATTTCCAGAACTCATTTTCCAGGTTTCCAAACACACCCTTAGTGTAAAAAAGAAACATAAAATGATTTATGTATAAAATGTTTTGCATTTACTATGTTCACTTAGTGCAATTCATGTAACCTCTTCCCCCATCCCAACTCGATCTACTCTCCCAGCAAGCTCTGCCAACTACTTTCAGTAGTGGTGGTCCACCCTATCAGCAACTGCTGGCATCAATGAGACCTAGGGGTGTTTGGCAAATAGTTGTTAGCTGATTGAGTTAGCTGATAGCTGATTGGGTTAGCTGGTTTGACCAGCTGATGGTATTAGTTGGTTGTAAAAGGTGTTTGGTAAAATTAGCCAAAATTGCCTAGTCAGCTGTCTTACCAAACAGGGCCTATTAACCTAAATTGCCATGAGAGGATAATATGTGATAGATTGAAGGTAGTACAGGGGGAGAGACCACTGGGCACTGGCAGTAGCTGGAAGTGGAGATGAAGTCACTGGAAGTTGACAATCAAGAGCTCAATTTCCAGAATTAAAGCAACAATCAATTTCTTGTTCTTAAATCTCTCCTTTTATTATTAAAAACTTGGTTCATTTTATTGATTTGAATAATATGCTTTAGGGGATTTTTTTTATTTAACCCAAGATATTTTACACGAATGGTGTTCATAGTAGATAAACTTTGAGTTTATGTTTTGATATTTTTTATGATGGGCATTTTGGTATTTTCATGAATTTTGCATTCGACTTTGGAAAACTGGAGATTGTTTACATTGAAAAAGTTTTTCCCCATAAGGCATTTTCCTTTTCCCCAGCTTTTTATTTTTTTTTTCTTTTTATTTTTTAATCGTAAAGTGAACAAGGCCTAAGGTATGTAACTGTTAAGTTTAGAAAATGCTAGGCTTCTAGCTATTCTCAGCTGTAAAATAGACTCACCAACAATTGATCATGTCTGGGTAAACTTAATTGTTACGGAGTATTTATTTTTTGGGTGCAAACTTTATAAACAAGTAAGCCTTCATTACAATCTGGAGCTCATATCATCATATGTGGGGCAACAAGTAAAAGGAGCTAAATTCATTCTAATTCAAGAAACTTTCTCCTAAGCAGCCATACTAATAGTTCTTGTTATTTTGCTTTTTAATGTTTCTTCCCAATTCCCATATCGCATTTTGATGTTGTACTTAAAAGTGGATGACTCTTTGTTTAAATTGGTAAAATGAACCTTGTCACTGATGACTGACCTTAAAAAGTGAAGGCAGTCATCAAACTTACATTACGAAAACAAAGGCAGGTCATCAAACTCCAAAGTCTTCCCAACTTAAACTTTTCAACTTCAAAAGGGAACACCTAAAATCCTAAATGAAGGTGAACTCTATAAATATTTGACAGTAGAAAGGTCTTGGTTTTTTTGTTAGAGATATTCTTTGTTTTATTGTTCCTAGAAAAGATGAAGAGCTAACTAATCCACCTTAGCAAAAATTATAAAGCTGAAACAACATTTTTAAAGACCTGCAACGCTCTTCAGTGAACAAACACACGGGGTGAAGGGGAATTTAACAATAAATGTAATTCAAAATTTACCTCAGATCTTCAGAAGCTTGTGTCAAGCTTTTTGTCAAACTCTCCACTTCGCTCAATAAGCCACTATTACGGACTTCAGTCAACAAAGGCTGAACATCTTCAGCCATGGCTTTGATCTGGGGCATTGCTACATGAGAATATATTAAATACTGTGTTCCAGCAAATACTTTATAATTTTTTCACAGACTGAAATAATATTGCAATAATATGCTATGTAATATTGTAATTCAATCATGTCAAATTGATGATTCACAGTTGTGAACACAGAACTGCAAGCACTTGATGCTGAGGGAGCACAATTAGGTTTAACAAATAAAAGCAAATGCAGTTGTACAAAAATGGACTGCTTTTCCAGGTTCATAACTTAATTGTTGAGTCAAATGTGATCCCAATTACAAAATTAATAGACAATGCTCAAACTGCAACAAATAAAAGAGCAATAACCTATATTTATTATCAAATCTTGGGAAAGTTGTGAATAGGGAATAAGCAAACTTGGACAACAATGAAATACATAGTTTTTACTAGATGACTCACAAACCAAACTTACTGCATATATATTGAAGTCACCCATAGCCTTGTAAATGGAAAACAACTCATTTCAACTTATATTTCATCAAATATGCAATCTTTATATGAAATTTTGTTTTTTACTCCTTTTTTTACCCATCACACTTCGTATTCTAATAGACATGCACAGAGTTCAAAGCCTCAAAATTGAGGAACTTTCCTGACTTGGTATCCTTTTTGCAAACACAACTCATTTCAAGTTAGCTTTGTGTTGTATTTAGATTTTTAATACCCTTGGAAGCCGTAGGCCAGAAAGTTGTTACAACATATTTCTTCAATCTTAGGAGAAACCTATGACCGCATAGGTTCCTTAAAAATTAAAGAGAAACTAAGTGACATGTAAGTTAACGGGAAAGAACGAAGTCTTTTCACAGTTAAACTGTAGAGTAATCACATAAATTACCAAACAACACTGTAATCAAGTGAACTTAAAGAAGAATGCACCTCATACCTGATTGAGTAAAGGACGAGCCTCCTCAATGGCATATACAACTTTTTCAGCCAAAGAAAAGGTATTTGTAACACCAATTTCTTCTACTTCACGGCCAATGCGGGTGAATATCCCAACCAATGCATCCAAACTTACCCCTGGATATCCCTTTATCTTTTGCCTGTCACATACAATTAAACCTTCTTTGAGACAATCTTGATCAAGAGGTCCTACTGAAGGAGTTGGAATTGGGTCTCTGGGAGTAATATCGATCATAGTTTCCATGAGAAGACCGGACTGGTTCACCTCTACCAATGAATTCCGAGGTATAATTATCTTGTCATCATCAACCTACAAAAGATGTTTTCGTTTCAACAGATAAATTTATTCACACCACACGTAGGTCAACAATAGAATAATTCAAAGTTTAGTAATTAGCACACCTCAGCCACGGCTTCAATATTTTTCAACGAGGGATTAACACGGATAACATTCCCAACATTCACCCCTCGGATCCTAACAGGTGTCCCTGTACAGATGCCTGAAGCCTGGTCAAACTCAAAAACAGCCAAATATTTCCTGAACTTTGATCGCAATTGAAACCCCCGCAACCAAGCCAAGCTAAGTGCCAACAACACCGCACCAGAAACAAGAAACAACCCTACCCCACCTTCCCAAATGCTCCTTCTCCCAAACCCAAAATCATTCAGTGGCCGTAGAGTCTGCCTCCAAATGTTCCTTGGCACATCCAAAACAACAGAAAATACATTTTTGCGCACAGAAGCCACCCCGGGCTGTTCTTGTTTCTGCTCCTGACTATGACCCGTATCTGCAGACATTGCTTTTACCCTAAAGACTCTACCACTGGGTCTTGCCGGAGTTCTTGAGCGTGGCAAGAAATCCACAAGACCGTTACGCCTATTCGGCACAATATTCAACATGGTATAATTTGTGGAAAGATTAACTAATGCATTCCCAGCCATTCTTCTCTTCGTATAAATCCTATATATTCTCTTTCACTCACTATTCATGTTACTGTTTATCTTCTCAGTGAAAATGGGAGCTGAAAAGCAATAGCAATTACAACATCATTAACACACTGCGATTATTTACCGAATCTGAAATAACAATTTGACATTTCGATGTGTGCGGAAAAAATAAAACAAGATATAAAGAAAACCAAAATCACTCGAATCAGTAAAAACTTAGAAGCGATGACAAGATCTTTACCAGCTAGGACGACGGGTATGTCAATTATCAACGTTGGCCGGCACCGGGTAGAGAGGTATACTGGAAATTAATGCATTCACCGAGAGAAGGAGAGAGAGATATGACGGGAAATACACTCTACTCTACCATGTAGAGTACGGTATATTATTTTTGTATAGTACGTCACTTGCGTATTTTACCTTTTACAGTTTACCTCTCTATTTTTTTTTATTTTTTTTAGTTAATTCAATTTTTTGTCATAGAGTTATAAGTGAGATACTTTTAGTCCTGTTTGATAAATGGCGGTTAGCTGTTAGCTGTTAACTGATTGTATTAATTAAGTAATTAATTAGTTGATAACATTAGCTGATTGTATAAAAGTGTTTAGTAAATTAGTTGTTAGCTAATAGCTGTTTGGTATAATTTCTTTTATCAAAAAACTAATTGAAAAAGTTACTTTAAGTAGCTTTTTGAATTTTAGCATTTTGAAGTAAAAAAAAAAAAAAAAAAAAAACTAATTAACCAAACACTTATATTGATTTTTAAATCAAGTCAAACAACTAATAATGATCAAATAAGCCAAACTTGACCTATAGGCTAACTATTTTACCAAACGGTGCCTTATACTTTTTCTTAAACATTCATTGTTGAGATTAGTATTAGAGTTCTACCACATGTATTCCCAAATTTTACTTCCTCAGATTTACTCCTTATCTCAATTTTACTCCATATGTAGCATACACTGATTGGCTATTTTCTTTATATAGAGCCCTGTAAATGTGTCAACATCAAAATTTTTAAGTGTGGAGTAAAAGTTGGGAATATGATAATGGGGTACATATAGTGTGATGACATTTCAGTTTATTCAGTATTAAGTGTTAATTCATTTATTAGTCATATATTTATTGATAGTGTTAATTGCCGCGTAAGCAGAAATAAATAAACACAAGACCAATTAAAGCAATTAAATGTCTTTTATTGATCAAGGTGAAGGCCCTAAGTACAATCTAAATGGCTGTTCTGAGTACCGACTGACTGCGGTCGGGATTCTCTAATAACAACCTATCGATCGTCCAAAAGTCCCTCACACTGTTGCCACCGCGGGTATTTATAGCCGCTTGGCCGGAGACACAAGTCCGGCAGTCGGCATGTCACCCACGTAGCAATGACGTGTCTTCTCCCCGTTAGCTCTGCCTGTCAACGCCTAAAGCTGCCACGTGCTTCCTCCTGGTTCTCTCGCCTAAGGGCTCTCGTTCGAGTAATGAAGACCTCGGTCGGGCATCAATCCGGTCTGTTCCGAGCGGATTCTTCTAAGAAAGTCTGACCTGTAACCTGCATAAACAAGAATGAAAGACAAAAGCATGTCGGTTGGGGTATTCCCTACCATTTATATATGTCATTTACTGTTGCGGACGCGGTAATGTGGAGTGGATGTGTAGATTGCAATTGAAGAAGACAGGAGATTCTAGTCGTGAATTATATATATTTTTTTAATATAAAAATATAGTAGGTCAACTCACTTTGTATTACAAAAATTGGAATATCTTTTTATTTAATGTTATTAAATAACTTTATTGAAAGAGAAAAAAAAAATGATCATGTTACAATAATACTATGACAAAATAAAAATGTTTTGAAAATAATAATAATAATATTAATAATAACAATAATAATAATAATAAAAGTTAAATGATACCTATAATGACAAAGGAACATACTCCCTCTGTCCCATTTTGCCTATCCTGTTTACTATTCATTGGCCAATCCAACTCTTTCTTCATTGCTTATTTTTTTTAGTAATTTTTAATTATTTTTAAATTTGATTTTTTTTGTTCAAGAATACTTTTAATGTAGTTTCTAAATATATAAATTTTATATACTAAAAATAAATTTAATATTATAAAAAATTAAAGTAAAAATAGCTTCAGTCAAGTCTCGTTAACCGAACCAGACAAACAAAATGGGACAGAGTGAGTATATAATTAATCTCATTGTCCCAAAATTTGAAAGTTACCCCACACTCCGACCTAACAAAGCACTCAATAGTTTAGTAGGCAGGGCCAAATGTCAGTGCACACAAAAAATCTTTCAACTTTAGACATAATTCTGATACTGTAATCACCGAAATTCAAACCTTGGTCTATAGTCTCAAATATTGTCCACTAAACTATTGAGTTAAGTCTGTGCTGGTTATATTTTTTTTTTTGAAAACCTCTGCGGGTTATATAATTAATCTCCTAACTATATAATGCGTTGCCACTCGATTTATGGATTGATTCGACTTAGACAGTTAGAAATTGATTTAACCCAAAACCTCTTCTAAACCCCATTATTTTCTTTTTCCTTTGCCAATTGAACCATTGTTCTTTCATTCTTTCTGAGTTTCTGTAGTTGAGGGGCAGGAGAGACAGAAAGATTCAAAATTGTGTATTTAATCAAAATATTGAAAAAAAAAATTTGGTTGTTTATTATGCTAAATAGGATTCTTGATGGTTTCATACTTTCCCTTCTCAAGCCATCTGCAAATCGCCTCAAGGTAAGCGCTTTTGTATGTTGATTTCTCCAGTGGGTTTATTCATTTATTTGCGTTCTGATTTTCCTTTTTTTTTTTTTTTCGGAATATTAACAGGAAACCTTGCACTCTACTTGTTTGAAATCAATCAGGTTAGTGAAGTTAGCTCCTTTTACTAGTTCTGCAAGTGCAATTTCCCCATTTCTTGATGATTTTCCATACGAAGAAAGTGAAGGCAATAATTCGCATAGCTGTGTTCCTTGCGTGAGAAAAGACAATGGGTTTTCTAATCAGAGATATTGTCCAAGTTTACTAGATAGTTATACGAGAAGTGGGTCTATCTCAGAAGCTAAAGAACTCCAAGGCAAAATATTGAAAACAGATGAGACAATTGGAACCCCCCTTATCAATTCTTATGTTGGTAATGAGGATTTGGCTGGTTCATTAAGAGTTATCAATGACACGCCTTCTAGGAGTAAAAATGTTTCTGAGTGGAATAAGTTGATATCTGGGTTTCAGAATGATGTTAGGATTTTTCATATGTTCTCACGAATGATGAATGAAAATGTCCGTCCAGATGGGAGTACATTCGCCACTGTTCTGGGAGCTTGTGGTGGTGCTGAGATTGCATCTCATTTTCATGTCATTGAACAGATTCATGCTACGATTCTGCATTATGGTTTTGCTGGGAGTTGCAATGTCTGTAATTACTTGATTGATTTGTACTCTAAGAATGGGTCGGTAGATTCTGCTAAAAAAGTCTTTGAGGATCTGCATTCAAGGGACAGCGCTTCATGGGTTGCCATGATGACTGGTTTCTGTCAGAACGGGCGTGAAAAAGATGCTATTTTTCTCTATAAGGATATGCGTAAATCAGGAGTTATTCCTACTCCATATGCCTTTTCTAGTGTTTTAAGTGCCACCACCAAGTTGCTGTTACTTGAGCTGGGAGAACAGTTCCATTCTATAATCTTAAGGTGGGGATATTTATCAGATGTATATGTGGGCAATGCTCTTGTAGCATTATATTCACGCTGTGGGGACTTGCTATCTGCGGAGCAAATATTTTCTGAAATGAAGCTCAGGGACAGAGTGTCTTATAACACACTAATATCAGGCTTCTCCGTGCAAGGATTCAGTGAGAGGGCTCTTAAACTGTTTGATAAAATGCAAATTGATTCTATAAAGTCTGATTGTGTTACAATCGCGAGCCTCTTGAATGCTTGTGCATCATCAGGGGATCTTCAGAAGGGAAGGCAACTGCATTCATATGCAACAAAGGCAGGCTTATGTTCAGATATCATTATTGAAGGATCTATACTAGACCTTTATGTCAAATGTTCTGATATAAAAACAGCCCGTGATTTTTTCCTAACAACCCAGATGGAAAACATAGTTTTGTGGAATGTTATGCTAGTGGCTTATGGGCAGAAGGGGGATTTGAATGAATCGTGTCGGCTTTTTGCCCAGATGCAGAGTGGAGGACTGCAACCTAATCAATACACTTACCCTAGTATATTGAGAACTTGCACATCTGTGGGTGATCTGGATCTCGGTGAGCAAATACATAGTCAAGTCATAAAGACTGGTTTTCAGCCAAATGTTTATGTTTGTAGTGTGCTTATCGACATGTATGCTAAGCATGGTAAATTAGATGCAGCCCAGAAAATTTTCAGACGTCTCAATGAGGAAGATGTTGTCTCCTGGACATCTATGATTGCTGGATATACTCAGCATGACCTATTTGTTGAAGCAATACGACTTTTTCATCAAATGCAGGACCACCATATTCAATCAGACAATATAGGATTTGCAAGTGCCATCACTGCATGTGCTGGAATTCAAGCACTCAATCAAGGGAGACAAGTGCATGCTCAATCAATCATCTTTGGCTATGCATCAGATCTTTCAATTGGCAATGCACTTGTTTGCCTATATTCTAGATGTGGTAAAGTGCATGATGCATATGTGGCGTTTAACAAGATTGATTCAAAAGATAATATTTCATGGAATGGGTTGGTATCAGGATTTGCCCAGAGTGGATACTGTGAGGAAGCATTAAGAGTTTTCTCTAGAATGAATCATTCTGGAGTAGAAGCTAACATGTATACATATGGGTCTGCTGTTAGTGCAGCTGCTAATACAACAAATATTAAACAAGGAAAGCAGATTCATGCTAGGATGATAAAAACTGGTTATGACTCAGAAACAGAAGCTTCCAATGTGTTGATCACAATGTATGCAAAATGCGGAAATCTCAGTGATGCCAGGAGAGAGTTCCTAGAAATGCCTTGCCGAAATCAAGTTTCATGGAATGCCATGATTACTGGCTATTCACAACATGGTCTTGGCAATGAAGCAATAGAACTCTTTGAAGAAATGAAAAATGCAGGGGTGATACCAAACTATGTCACCTATGTTGGTGTTTTGTCAGCCTGCAGCCATGTAAGGCTGGTGGACGAGGGGCTTAGCTACTTCAAGTCTATGAGTGAAGATCATGATTTAGTACCAAGACCAGAGCATTATGCCTGTGTTGTTGATATTTTAGGACGGGCTGGTCAATTGCAGCGTGCAAGAGAATTTGTGGAGACTATGCCCATTGCACCTGATGCAATGGTTTGGAGGACCTTGCTGAGTGCTTGCACAGTTCACAAAAATATTGAAATTGGAGAATTTGCTGGCAACCATCTCTTAGAATTGGAGCCTAAAGATTCAGCAACTTATGTTCTTCTATCAAACTTGTATGCAGTTGTTGGGAGATGGGATCATCGCAATTGCACAAGGCAGCTAATGAAAGACATGGGTGTCAGGAAAGAGCCTGGTCGCAGTTGGATTGAAGTTAAAAACAAGATTCATGCATTTTTCGTTGGTGATCGACTACATCCTCTAGCAGATGAGATTCATACATTTGTAGAGGAATTGAATAAACGTGCAGCTGCAGTTGGTTATATACAAGACTGTCACAACCTTTGGAATGATTTGGAGCTGGAACAGAAGGACGCAACTGCATTTGTACACAGTGAGAAGTTGGCTATTGCATTTGGACTTCTAAACTTGCCAGATACAATTCCCCTATGTGTGATGAAGAACCTTCGCGTCTGTAATGATTGCCACAACTGGATTAAGTGTGTGTCTAAGGTTGCAAATCGAGCCATTGTTGTAAGAGATGCCTACCGTTTCCACCACTTTGAAGATGGTGAATGTTCATGTCAGAACTTTTGGTAACAAGAACCATGGAAGAAATGAAGAATACTATGTGAAAAGAGGGTGTGCCAGTTCAGTGCTAAAGGATGAAATTAAATCCTGCAATGTGGGGTTGGAGGGAGTGGGGGACCTTTCTCTCTGCTCAGGATACCTCTCATCAACTATGGTAACTCTTTAGTAACACAAGTACCATACTATATTCTTGGTTCATTAAACTAAGACAAACCTGTGTTCTTGCTTGCTAAAGAGCCTTCTTTCTTGGTAACCTTTCTTCCTGGTTTTGACTGGTTTCAGCTAGTCCTGGGTTTTGCTTCCAGTGTCCAGTCAGGATATACTGGTACAACTGGATTCTCAAACACGGTTTATGTCTATTTATACAATTTATTATACTCTCCACATCCCATTCATATTGGCCCTTTTTGTCAACTAACTTTATTTTTAAGCAAAATTTTATGTTTATAACTTATTGAGATTTGATTCTTGAGGCTGGCTAGTTACTAGAATTTTGCGATATTGATATACCCCTCCAAAAAAAAAAAATTGTGTAGCCAATAAGGAGTTGGAGACCACTAGTTTGTAACTAAACTTTAGCTTAGAATAGTTAAAGATTTTCCAGTGCTCTTTCAAGCTTGGAATACATTTGTTGACCAATTGGATGTTGAGCATTGTAGTATTCTGTTTGACACCTTACTGCATTGAGCATTATCTTTTATCCTATACTAATGTGAAACAGATTTTTAAATTTCCTTGTTATTATTTTTTCCTTGAAGACAGATCTATTGGAAGGATTTATTCTTGAAGATTCTTCATCCATCATACTAATCCATAGAATGACAACGTCTTGGCAACAGTGTTTTGGAAATAGTATTGAAATTTATCGGGCTCCTTCTAAGATAATTGTTTTAGTAGGCCCCAGAAGTTGCCTTCCAACATGAGAATGGCACAGGATGAAACATTCTTGGTGGTTCTGATAATCCTTCAAATGCGGACCGAACTTATTTGTTTCTGCTTCTTGAAAGGCGGTAAGGTCTCTTGCAAGTTGCAAGTTATCTCACATGTAAACACACAGTCAATATGTTATTTTATTATTAAGATTAAAAATTGCCACTTCCGATGGATGGCATGATTACTATCGGATGTACTAACCATTTACAGATTGCACTTCTTTATACACAGGGTACTAGGACGAGGATACCTAGGTTGGTATTGGATGAATGGATGATTACTCTTCTCAGGCCAATTGTCAGGTTTGATCCAATCATGTGCTTGTAGCATACTGTTTTATGGCTTTTATATTGAAAGATTTTTACATTAATGTGCAAATTATAAAATCAATGTTTCGTTTAAGATTGTTAATGAAAAAATATAATGTGAATTCATATTAATTGGCATTTCAATAAATCATTTATGGAAAAGCTAATATCGCATTGCAATAACAAATGCATTACACAAAATAAAACAAAATAACAGATAGACCTCACCCCTCTCTCCCACACATGATTTTTCAAAATAAAAGGAAAAAAAAAAAAAGGTTTTTAGACTTGGTTCATCAGGTCGAGCCATTCAAAACATCATCACCTAGACTGCCCATGCATAAATATTCAATCTTGAATGCTGCTTCTTCTCTAAGAGCCATTCTTGTGATCCTTTCTGTTTCTTACCTTATTTTTCTGTTTCCCCCCCATAAGGGAGAAAATGGTTTATTTACTACTCATGATGAACAAAGAATTGCAAACAATTTATTATTATTATTATTATTATCTTAAACATTGCAAATAAAATGTGTGGTGTGGAATAACTAATGTACACAAGTGCATGTTTTTCAGGTCAATCCGGCAAATCCACCCCCTCTCATCATCTGCTTGAACTCTGTGAAATTCACCATTCCATCGCCATCCACGTCCACCTTCGTGATCATGTTCATGCAGTCCTCGACAGCCTGACCATGCTTGAGCCCTAGTGATGCCAGCACCGACTTTAGCTCATCAACGGTGATGAACCCATCGCCATTCTGGTCAAACACATCGAATGCCTTCTTCATGTCCTCATCATCATCATCCCGCTCACCCATGATGGATTGGTACAGCGCCCCAAACTCATCAACGTCCACGCACCCGTCCCCATCCTTATCAATTTTCTCGATCATTTGGGTCAACTCCTCCGCCGGTATGACGATTCCCATTCTACGCAATGAATCAGTCAACTCCTTCGTGGTGATCCGACCATCGCTGTTCTCGTCGAACATTTGGAAAACTTTTCTTAGCTCGTCAGCATCCATTCTACTTTGTCGTCGAGGCAATGGCTATTATGGTGATGGTTTGGTCGAGGCAATGGCTATTATGGTGATGGTTTGGAGGAGTCTAGAATGGCAAATTAGCAGAAATTTGTTGATGAAACCAGGGAAAGGGGGAGGAAATGCCTAATCTACTATGTAACCAAATTGAGGAGAAATTTGTTTTTAAGAGATAGTGAAGGAAATTCCTCAACAAAATGTGTTTTGCCTTTGTGGTGGTGAGACGTTCTTGGAGGAAAACTAGGGGGGCTAAGGGACTAAATATTGCAAGTCTTGTTGGTCTTTAGAGTTGACCAAAACAAATTTTGGAATACATTCAATTTTTGTATTAAATATTGCAAGGCTTTTTGGACTTTTAGAGTTGACCAAAACAAATTTTGGAATAGAATGAGTTCATTCCATTTTTGTATTAAATATATTGCAAGTCTTTTTGGACTTTAGAGTTGACCAAAACAAAATTTGGAATAGAATGAAAACTTCTTTCAATTTTTGTATTAACATGCTTATAATATCCCAAGTAATAGTTTATTGACTTATGTATAACATGTAATCATGTATATCTGGTCATTTGTGTTGGGTCTTTACTTATGGCAAAACAGAAATGAAATTATTATTATTGTTGTTGTTGTTATTTTATCTGTCACATTTTATATGTCATATTTACTATTCATTGGTCAAACAAACTATTTCTTCTTTGTTTTTTTTTTTTTTAGTATTTTTTACTTATTTTTAAATTTGATTTTTTTTTGTTTAATAGTATTTTTAGTGTAATTTCTAAATATATAAATTTTGTATACTAATACTAAACTTAATATTATGAAAATTTGGATTAAAAATAACTTCAGTCAAGTCTCGTTAATCGAACCGAACCAGACACCATAAAATGGAACGGAAGAAGTATTATTGTTGTTATTTTTATTGTTATTATAAATGGAGGCTCTTTGGCATAAGGGTTTCATGCTTATAATATCCAAGTAATATATGTTCTTTTTTGTTTAAGCGGCTTAGCTATGGTAGCTTTGGAAAATCTAAGTTGGTTGATCTTTGTGTGAACCTTTGCTAGCTAGGATCACAATACAAAGTTTATCAAGTGCACAACCTCGAGTAGTGGGTGTGAGTTTCCCTCTCACTCAAAAAAAAAAAAAAAAAAAAACAAAAGACATGTTTAGGGAACATTTGTATTAGCTATAATCACACTGTCAAAGAACTGGTAAACAGAGAGGGCAAATTGCAGAACCATTTGTTCTTTTCATTTCAATCTTCTTAAGATTTGCAGATGGAGACATTCTCAGTTTTTTTTTTTTCTCATGAATCTTACAATGATAATGAAAACAAACCCTACCAACAAGGCAACAACTACTGAACTTAGCTGAGGAAATCGATACAAGCTAAAGGCAAGAACAGAAGTGAAGGCCTTAGCTCTGCAGAACAAGGCTCTTTCCAAGAATCAAGTCATCTGTTGAGAAATCAGCCGCTTTCCTGAAGGTTCCGCGGCCAAAGTCTAGGTTGTAAGAGTCCGTGAGACCTTCCACCAAGTCGAATTCTGGTTTCCATCCCAGCACGCTCTTTGCCTTCTCGATTGATGCAAAGAAATGCTGCATTGCAGAAAACAACAAAATGTCATTTTTTTTCTGGTCACCAACACACTTTTTGTTAATCTTATCCTAATTCCTATCCACCAACAGGTTACCTGGTCGCGGAATGGAAACGCTTTCTTTTTACCAAAATCAAACTCCTTAGGGTTGTAGTGAACGATCTCAGGCTCGGGGAATCCACCAGCCTGTTAGAAACACGAGGATAGTCACATAATTTCTCTAGTTTGCAAGTACTTAGGCCTTTCAAAACGACTTACCTTTGCACACGCCTTTGCTAATCCATCAAAGGTAACATATTTATCTCCAGATATGTTAAACACCTGTTTGCTTGCTTTTTCATTACCAAGAACCTTAATAAAGGCTGTTGCAAGATCCTGCAAATATCAAGCTCAACTGCATAAAACTCGGTCCATCTCATATTAAACACAAGTTTACGTTATTTTTTTCTTTTCATTTTCTATAAGCATATAAACCATTTATTGCCATTTCATTTTGCTAACCTTCACGTGACCGAGCTGCGTTATTTGTATTCCAGAGTTGGGAACTGGGATTGGGCGACCTGCTTTCAGCCTGTGAAAGAACCATTCTTCAACAGGATTGTAGTTCAAGGGCCCATAGATATAGACTGGTCTTATAGAGGTCCAATTAACACCTCGCGATGTTAATAAGCTCTCTGTCTCGAGCTTTCCCTTGTGCCTGCTCTTCGGGTCAACAGCATCAACCTGTCAATAGAAGCACGCAAAATTCTTTAGTTAAAACTATAAGAAACGATGAATGGAAAATTCTATGCAAATCCAAGATATACTAACTTCATAGTGCGGCAAATAATCAGTTTTGAGATAAACACCAGCTGAAGAGCAGTATATGTACCTAAGGATTCAGCAAAACAAAAAGTAAGATTCAAAGAAATATACTCCAATCCTCAAATATCATCTCTCTGATTGTGTATAAATATTGATCTGATGAACATCTTACTGTTCTAGCTTAGGCAATGCGTCCAATATGGGTTCCACTTCAACTGCTTCACGTCCTGAAATTAAAACGAAAGCATTTTCAAGGGATTGATTGTCAAGTGCAAAAAGAAAAGATGAAATCAAGCACACACAGTTGCAATTAAATATAAGATTCTGAGACCTTTGGTCTGGCTCTGATACCAAATTGAAGCATGTGCTCCATCTCAACTAAAAGCCTAAGCTGATAGTTGGATTGCACATTAATGGTTATATGCTCAACAGTCCAGATCAAGATATCGAACAAAGAATACGCACCATTTATGTCATACACAACGTCAAAACCTTCAGCAGCGAGACTGCTCTTAACAAAATCAAAGTCCATTCTGTCTCCCTTCAAGTGCAATATCTAAACAAGGCATATGATACACTTCTTATAATGCATACTTGGAACGACAGTATCAAGCAAGGCAAGAAAGTAATGATCTCCGATAGTTTGAGATGATTATTTGGCACAACCTTGGAGGAAAAATCAGCAAAGTCACTGTCTGATTCTCCAGGCAACTGCTGTGCAATCGGGGCTTTTCCTCTTGTGAACAGCGTAACCTGTAGACAATTTATCTCTGAGCTATTAAACTTCCACTCAGTGCTTAATTGATTTCTCGCAACAAAAACTATATAACAAATGGGTGAAAATCACATAGTTTAAACCTGGTGGCCTTCTTTCACAAGAAGTCTAGACAAAAAGATACCAATAAATCTGGTGCCTCCCATTATAAGGATCTTCTTGGCACTTGCAGAAATCTGCAGTGCCCCTTTTGGCTGCCATACCTTCCTCTTATACTACATCAACACACATTAATGAAAAGAGAAATCACATTAGTCTCCCTATACAGGCAAACAGACTAACAATTCCAAAGAACAACAAGAACATCATCAAGTGCCCAATAAACCAGTAATCTTATAGTGACCAAATCATTGTTTGAACTACAACTATAACACACTGCTTCTTTCTTTCAGTGAACAAATCTTGAACATTGAAATTAGTGTGAAATAGTGTACCCCAATTTCATAATGGCAAGAGTAGCTAGAAAAGCTGTGTTACCTGGACAGATGAGACAGCTAATTTGGTGCCATTGAAGTCAGAGCGAGAAGAAGGGAGGGCAGATAAAGAAAGGCTTTTGGGCTGTTGAACAACGGCCACCAGGCTGACCATGATGATGGTTTTCTGGTAAAGCTTTGAGCTTTGAGGTTGTTGTTGGAGTAGGGAGGAGTTTGAATGAGGCTCTGCCCATCTCTTCTTCTTCTACTTCTAGTGTGGGTTTATTTCGGACTCTCGTTCTTGTGATGGGGATAAGACAACGACCCCACTTTTGGTCTTCTTGATGTTGTTCCTTCCGCAGCTTCTGATCTGCTTCAATGATGAATCTATCTATAGCCTCTCGTTCTTACAAATCATGACCTCCCATTTTTGTTGCCGCGCAAAATGCCATTTTATATCCATTTATTATTTATACTAGCATTTTGTACTCGCGAAAATTTATGCCCAATATTAAAATATTTGTAAGTAACAAAATTTAAAAAATTAGTTAAAATTATGTTTTGCAATTTCAAGTCATGATACTTTTGAATTATCATATATTTGAATAATATAGTGATCAAAACAAAAAAATAAATAAATTATATTTTTATATAATAATAATTTACAAATAATACTAAGCTAAGACTCACATATATGATATATTGATATGGATACACAAATTAATTATATATATATATATATATATATATATATATATATATATGATACACATATATAATTTAACATTCATATAAATATTTAATTAAAATATAATTTATAATTAAATTAATTGTTATATGAATAATTTTAATAAAATGATAATTAAAAATAGGAAAAAGATATGATAGATGTAGGTGTATAGTAAGATTGGTATATATATTAAAAACTAACGGTGTTATAACGGTGTAAGGGTGATTTTGTCCAATGCAAATGAATGTACAACAATTAAAGCAAAATGTATATATTTATTAGCATATAAAAAATGGACAAAAATCAAGGACATAACTTGTATTGACACTTATTATGTTTTTATTTTAGATAAAAGTATTACTTTTTATCAAGGACTTTGTGGTTCACTAGTACCCTGTTGCGCTCCTAAATGAGAGGTGAAAGGTTCAAATCTCACTTGAAATAAATAGTATGTATATGTATGGTATATCTCTCTTCTTTATAATAAAAAACAATGTTTCGCTTTCTGAATTCCACGTACGAATGGTGATGATATGAATAAATGGCTGGAAAATATTATTTTTACTCTTATTTTCTACTCTCAATTTTTATTCTTACAAATAAAATTTTGATATAGACATTTGTATTATGACCCACATATAAAAAGAGTAATTTATTCATGTCTATCACAGGAGTAAAATTTATGGAGTAAGACCATATAGTATAACTCTAATTGACTTCAGTAAAAAAGTTTTTTTTTAAAAATGTTAATATTATTTTTTAAAATACTCATGAGTAATTCCAGCAATGGTCATCCAACTATATTGATTTTCTAAAATTAGTCACTGACATTTAATTTGGACATTTTACGTCCCTTGACTTTCAATTTCTTTTTAATTTAGGTCCTTTCGTCAGATTACGATAAATTGGACTTTAAATAAAATAGTAAAGTAGTCATTGCATCTGTCTAATGTATAATTCTTAGTATTTTCCCTTGTATGCACGACTATGGACATCAGATTCACTTAATTGCTTAATCCCTAAATCCACTCGAAGAACAAAATTCCACTAGGGATTAAGCAATTAAGTGAATCTAATATTATAATGTCTGAAGTCGCGTATACAAGAAATAAATACGAAGAATTATACATTAGGCATATGAAATGATTACTTTACCCTTTCATTTAAAGTTTACTTTACCGTAATCTGACGAAAGAACCTCAATTGAAAATAAATTGAAAATCAAGGGACGTAAAGTGTCCAAATTACAAATCGGCGACTAATTTTGGAAAATCAATATAGACGGAGGACCATTGTTGGAATTAACTCATTCTTTATAAAGTATTATATGTTATATACTTTCTCAAACATCTCTACCCCAACAAATCTAAACCCCCTAACAACGGGGTTCACATTTATGACCACTCATTTAGAATGATACACAGTGATATTATCACATTACATGGTAGTTGGCAAAGTTACTACTATTTAAAGTTTACATTATATAAAAAAGAATTGAAAGTATTTAGTGATTAGTAAGTTAATAATAATATGGAGTAAAAGTTAAACGAAATATTTTGTTATTAAAGTTTGTACATAAATGTATAAGTAGAAAAAAAAATGATAACTTTGAAAATGTTTTATCATTATACAATGAATAAATCAAATTGTACAAGTTATTGATCTCTTAATTATTTTAGGTGTTGAAATGTGGTATCTTAATGATAGAGACCCCATTTGGCCATTTAAATATCTTTTCAGTTATTATAGGTATATGGGGTGTTTGACAAGTAGTTGATAGTTGATAGCGGATGACTTAGTTGATAGTTGTTAGTGGACTAGGTTAGCGGTTTTGACTAGCTTATAGCATTAGTTGATTGTAGAAAGGTGTTTGATAAACTAGATGTTAGCTAATAGCTTATTACATGCAAAATGGCATTTAAGGGTATAATTTATTTTAAAACAAACTGATCGAAAAGGTTAATTTGAACAACTTTTTAAATTTTAGCGTCTTTGGAGCAATAAACTATTACAAAAAAATTGATTAACCAAACACTAATATTGATTATTTAACAAAGTCAAACAACTAATAGTGATTAAACAGGTCAAAATTGAATGATAAACTAAATATGTTACCAAACATGGCCACAATCATTCAACTTGTAGAGCAAATAAACCCCATGTAAACTGACTTTAAGAATGGATGTTTTGGACTCTTGGTAAATTTTCAATAATAATTTTTTATTGACTCTTTTATTATCGTTCGACCAACAATAAGGCAACCAAATTTCTTACCATATGGTTAACATTTATATTTGTTTGCGGTGTGAGAAGAAGGACAATATCTATAATTGAAAAGATAATTAAATGACTAAATGTGTTTCTTTTATATCGAAAGATATGCAATTTACAATTGAATAGGTAATTAAATGACTAAATGTGTTTCCTTTATATCTAAAGATATGCAATTAAGAAACCAAATGTATTGACAATATAATTAAGAGACATTATCTATCATCATAATTACTTTCTCAACTTATTGAGGCTCAAAGAGTCAATATCGCCTCTATTGAGGCGAGAAACTCACAATCTCTCATATGAAGGAGTAACTTGGCGTCATTGGACCACAAAGTCCTTGACTGACCAAATGTACTTATTTTATAAGTAAAATATCAAATTTGAATATATAAAATAATTAAGTATCAAAAGTGTAATTTTTTTAATAATATATTAAAGTTAGAACTTAGAATAGGAAAGTTATATGTAGGGTAAAATAATATAATTTTTTTACAGGAAAAGAGAGAGAGATAATTTTCAAAAGTATCCTTAAAATTGTAGGGTAGATATTAAAATAAAAAAATGTATTCAGGGTCAATTTTAAAATACTCGAAATTATGAGTGTCGTCTGCAAAATTGAACTCCGACCTTCACCCGGATCCGTCGGGCAGAAGGCACCAACTAAAACTTAAACATGCAAATTAGCTTCAGATTTTCGTACCAGAAATATCAATTTTATAAACTCGGGAGTTGAATCCGAGAAGAGACGCAGAAGAGAAGATCACACAGCTGAGGGGAGGTACTGAAAATCCCTGCATTTGAATTATCCAAAAAATGGATCTGAATCCTGTAAGTTCTTCGTTTTCCAAAAGTGATTTATGTTATTTCAGTCGAATTTACTATTGGATTATTATATAATGACGCTTTAGTGGATCGACCGCTGACTTGTTGTTTGATATCCTGTCCCAATAGATCTGCAGATGCAATTGTATTTCTATCAGATAAATCGTATTGTTCGTTAGAAATGCAGTAGGCACAAAATTGTTAGGTTAATCTGATGTGATGCTAAGATGAGGAACAAACCTGTAGGCTGAATTGATCGGATTTCGTAAAACTGATACGAATGCACGAGTTTAGAGAACGTGCTTCTCGGGGCTGGTCACCACTTACGAATGCTCTCACCTTTTCCAGCTAAGCATGTGTGATGTTGTTTGAGACTTACTCTGGGTAGAGCTACTGTAAATGATGAGTTAGGAAATTGATGTTGGGAATGATCAGTATTGAACTTGTTGACTAGAATTTAGGGCTTAATAAGGTGAAGCATTGCAATCACACTTGCAGAACATCAACAGAAGAGAATAATAAAATTTAAGAAGAGAGATATCTTAAGAGGAGCTTGGGAATGCCTGTTTAGCATGGGATTATTACTAATTTGGTTTCTTAAACGAATTGGAGAGTAAATAAAGATTGATACCTTGGTTTTTTACACTTGGATGGTAGCACTGTAGCATTAACCCCTTATAAGAAGAAATACTCCAGAGTTCATGGGCACGTCTTCATAACTTGTTGAGGCCCTTTTCTATTTAATTAACAGTTGACACTGCTGCCTTGTTTTCTTCACGTGTTGAATTAGCTTGTTTAGGAGTTGTCAAGACTGTTATGAATTTTAGATGTTTTCAGAAATTGATAACTTTGCTGATACTAAGATATTTGTACGCGTCTGTTCATGCATGAGAGAGAAGACTCTTGTTGCAACTTGGATTATTTTGGGAGGTTGGCATAATTACATGCTGTTCGTCATGGTGGTTGATGAGTAGGCTGCCTTTGATATCGCATACATGATACATGTCCTGTAGCATTGTGCATAAAACATGCAAATTAGCTTTGGAGGGGTAAAATATAAAAGAAAATAAACATTGGTAGATGAGATGAGAGCACCCAATCTTGCATAAATCTGGTTCATAAGCTGTTTAGGGGATTAGAATATAGAGGGAGATGGCCAATGTGATGTAGTTATCAGATGGATTAGTAAATTATTGGAAACAATAATTGAAAGGACAGTGGTTGATTTACTGATCACCTCAACAGAGGAGACTGTCATTGCAACCCCCTTGTTGATTTTTCATTCAGTTATTATTATATTCTGTAAAGTCATCCTTGGTAAAATTAAGAGGACAAGAACGATTCATATTAATTGATAGTGCCATTACAAAATGACTGTCATCGTAACATGCATAGTACTCACAAATGGTTAACTGATGTAAATTTTAAATTTTGACCTGTGAATTACATCCTTTTGTTATCCAACAATGTTTGCTATGTGTGCATATATGTGCTAATGTCACTAATGTAACTTTACAAGACAACTTGTCTATTGCCCATCTTTATTCATTTAGTTTTGCAAAACCTATGGACTTGGAAATACAGAATATTTGTATAATATCACAACTCTTACTACAATTTTCTCATCTTCTATGCTCAGCCTGCAGGGGAGAACTATGCAAACCCTAATATATGTTTCTTCCATGTGCTCTTCAAGGTCTAGTGCATCGGACTCTTTTATTCTAGGACCATATTTTATTGAAAATTCACAACTGACCTTTTTTTTTCATACCTCCTTTCTCAGGCAGCAGCTTTGGCATTTTACATACTTTCAGCTCTATTTGTCGATAGTTTTGTTATCATATTTGTGGTCACTGTTCTGCTAGCAGCTCTTGACTTTTGGGTTGTTAAGAATGTGAGTGGACGCATCTTAGTGGGTTTGAGGTGGTGGAATGAAATAAGTGAAGAGGGTGAAAGTTTGTGGAAATTTGAGTGCCTTGACCAAGAGGTGAGCAGCAAGGCCTTGCAGTTTCTTTGTACCTCTTTTATAAAGTGATACCATATGTTTCCAAAAGCTTCCTTAGTGTTGATGTTTCTTTCAGAAATTATCTTTTTAGCTACTTAATTCAGCTACTGTGTTTATTTTGTTTTTCCTTTGCAGTCGTTGGCTCGCATGAATAAGAAGGATTCTTGGCTTTTCTGGTGGACACTATACCTTACTGTAAGTAAACAACGCGGAATATATAATATTTTTGGCCATCAACGCTTGGGCCAAGGTACAATATGGTTATCAATGTTTTAGAACTTAAAAACAGTCGGTAATATTTTGATTTTGTTTCAAAATCATTGCTGTCCAAAATTTCGATCACAATTCCAGCAATCTCTGGCAACATGTGCACTGATTGAGGGAGAGTTAATTTTGAAAATTCTGATTTGGGTTTTATATTTAGTGTTACAGTGAAACAAATATCTATAATTGGAGCATTGAATCGCTAAAAATTTCAAGAATTGTGATAAAATATGGTGGACGTGGTGGTGATGATTTTGAAACCAAAATTTAAGCTTTGAAACATTAAAAAAGAAAAAACAATTCAAACAATGTGAACTCTGCATTTTGTGGTCCACTTTTAGTGTTCAATTTTCAACTGAAATGGATTATATGCATTGAAATCTGAGAACAGTTGAAGATATGTGCCATATGCCTTGATCTGACCTCAGTAGTCAGAAGCTCTGAATGTTCAGTATATAACTCAAAATTATCTTTGAGATTTCTCATTAGTGCTTCATGGTGTTTCAAATAGACAATAGATTGGTATTTAAAATTCACACCTTAAAATAAGAGGAAATAAGGATTCAACTATTTGCTTGTATCTAGTACTGCAACTGATATTTTACTTGTGTTATTAGGCTGTGGCTTGGATTATTCTCGGAATATTCTCACTCATTAGATTCCAAGCTGACTATCTCCTTGTTATTGGTGTGTGCTTGACACTCAGCATTGCAAATATTGTTGGCTTTACTAGGTGCCGCAAAGGTGTGTACAAAATCTCTTGACATTCTGTGACCTAAATGATTTCAGTCTGTGCATATGTATACCACAAATGCATGTATCTGTTAAATTACTATCTTCATGATATAAAGCGGTGAAAGGCATAATCCTTAATTCGTTAACATTGTTCATAACTTTTTTACCAACCTGCTATAACCAACACAACTAGAATTGCTACTTCCTTAGGAACTCAGTATTAATTTATTGTGGTTATTGGGTATATAGAAATACACACACACGTATCTAATTCAGTCCAGCATATCATTCTATTCTCTGGTCATGATTTTTATATCTTACTGCAACTTGTGTAGTTTTGCCAAATAGAAACCTATAACACTGGTGCCTATGTAATTTACTTTCCTAAATTATTACGCCAAACTTCTCTACTGTCTCTGCTGCAAAGCGTCAAAATTAGTTAATTGTCTGACAAGGATTTGATCGATTTCCTTCCAGATGCCAAGAAGCAGCTTCAAGCATTTGCCACTCAGACCCTCGCATCACGAGTATCTTCTACCATCCAGACTGCATTCAGTGTTGTTTGAACTCCTACAAGGAAGAGGTGAACTGGGCACAAAAGAATCAATTCGTGAATGTCAGCCAACTTACACACTTGCATGTCACTGTATTGGAATGTCAACAGCTTTTTCTTTTACAGTTTTGTAGAGATGATGGAACAATGGATAGGCGTTTGTATTATTCTTTGACTACTATAGGTCCAGTGCATGTTGAACGAACATACAAATAAGTTTGGTAAAAAATCGTACTTTTTTCTGCTTTCTTGTCTATCTATTTTAACATTGACCTTGCTATATAGTTTACCTGTGCTCGACACCAATGGGAATTCATAATCACTACTTGAATTTCACTTTTTGAATTGTGTTCCTAGTTGTTAAAATATTTTTGCACATTGTGTTTCGAGAAATGTTTTGGCATTAAATTTGATTAGAACGCAATGTTATAGCATTTTGGTCGGTAATTGTGCTCAGGTGTTTATATGAGTTAGATTTTGTTAAAGATGTATGCTTTGTTGGAAAACAAAATAAGCTACTAATATATTTTTGAAAGTTGTAGGATGTCGTAGGTATAACGCTCAACATCTTGAAAATTTTAGAAAATTCGCTCAGCATCTTGAAAATTTTAGAAAATTATCGGATCTGACGCATTTAGTCCTAATATTTTCATATATTTTACCCACGATGGAGGTGTTAAACAAATATATTCATCTTGTGTTATATGTTTTACAATCGCATACAATATTTTTTATCTGTTGATTGTGTGTGGAAAATAACGTTTTATATTATAACGTTGTCGGTTGACGCATGATACCTTTGAAAATTGTACAAATATATCCAGGATGAAAATAAATTTTTAGAGTGGATGTATTGGTAGTAATGTGTCGATTAGTAAGAAGTAAGCACCAATGCCTATCTCCTTATGAATACTTGAGTGACCACTAAATGAATGATATGAGTATTTATAGCAAGAGAAATTTGTCTTACATGAAAAAATGCATATTATAAAAATTTGATATATTACATTTTCCGAACAAATTGCACTTTTGGTCCTGTGACAATTGGGGTGTTGTTAATTGGAGTATTTGACTTTCAAAACTCTCAATTTAGTCCTTTAACTATGCAATTGTTAATAGATTTGGTCCTGCCGGCCAATTTTCACCGGAAAAACATAATTGCATTCGAATGGTTTTTTGACGAGGGTAAAACGGTCATTGTAATTTTGCTTTGCTTCTCCGCCATTTTCCTTAGAAATCCCATGTAGAATTTCTCGCTCAGTTCTCAGATGACGCCGACTCGCCGCTCAGCTGCTTGCCTGTCCAACTTCTTGTTGCTGGGTGCTCCAAAATTTTAAGACTCATACTCCTAAAGTATTTATAGCCTCATAGGTCATTTAACTAAATTTTATACGAATTATTGAAATTTCTTTTGTTTATTAAATATACTGTTAGTTTATGAAATTAAATCGTGTTATTTTATTTATTTTTTTATTATAAATGCTAAATCGTCTTGGTTCTTGGTTCTTTCTTTTTTTATTGTGTACTCTGGTAATTTGATTAAATTTTATACGAATTATTCACGTATTTCTTTTATTTATTGAAATATATTTTTAGTTTATGAAATTAAACAATTTATAATTGAACGTGAACGGCATCTCTGTAGTTCGCACGCACTCCGCACATACACCAATTATACCATGTCACTCACCATAGACAAAATTGATAGCACCGCAGAGGTATTAAATTAGGGATTTAAGGACTTAGACAAACCGATAGCACCCCAAAGGTATTAAATTATGAATTTAGGGACTTAGACAAACCGATAGCATTCTCAACCCTAAGGGCCACCCATACTCCACCCCGACGATTCTATATAAACTATGTTAATCTTCTCCCAAGTTGAACGATTATATATAAACTATGTTAATCTTCTCCCAAGTTGAATCCCCAACCTTAAAGGCCCCGACATAGGGAAAGGAGGAAAAATCCTAATGGACGAATACTCCACCCCGACAATTCTATATAAACTATGTTAATCTTCTCCCAAGTTGAATCCCCAACCTTAAGGGCCCCGACATAGGGAAAGGAGGAAAAAATCCTAATGGACGAATATTGGACCAGCATATGAAATCCTTGAAGAAGTGAATGTTAGAACAAGAAAAGCAAAGAAGCTAATTTAAATAAATGACATTATTTATCTTTTTCAATTAAAATCATTTTGGTTTTTTCTTTTCTCATATTTAATTTTGGAGAAAAGACATTTTATTTTTCAATTATAAGTTTTACTGTGACCACTTGAATAGTTACAAGATGATGCTCATGAAGTTATTTATACTTATTTAACATCTCAACGCACAGTGGAGATCTACTTGATTGTATGACTATAACTATATTTATAAAATCCACCCTAAAATTCTATACAAGTTCTATAATATTTTATAAATATTTACACTTAATATGTAAACAATTCTATTTAAAATTTAAAACTATTTAATTAAAAATGCTCTCTGAGAATGGAATGACGCTCTCGTCTTAACGTACGACGGAGGATCAGGATTTGTTGGAGCGGAGTACCAAAAAGTCGAAACGCGACGCCGGTGCATCGATCGGTAAGGCGGTTGAGATGGCGGAGATCGTCCCGGAGACGCCCGCGGAGGCCATGCAAGAATATGATAAGACGGTAGCGGCGCAAGACCCGCCGGAACGACTGATGTCGTACCGGGATAAGGATTTGCAAAATTTGTGGAATATCAAAGTCCCCAATAGAATCAACCACTTTCCGTGGTTGGTGAAACAAGAGGAGTTGATGACAAACGTGGAACGGGCCAAGAGAGGCTTCACAACTGATATTTTTTTGTTTGTCTTGCGCAGGTAAACCGGAAAGCTTGGAACACATTTTCAGGCACTGCACTGAAGTGCAAGGCTTTTGGGAGTGTTTCTTGCCCAGGGACGCTGTGCGACTGCTCAGTTCGAAGGACGGGAAGGATTGGCTGTCGGCGAATCTTAAAGCTGATGCGAGGTTAGGCTTTGATGGTGAGTCGGCATGTGGTGGTGTTGGAAGTGGCGTAATGCTAGAGTCCTCGAAGGCAAGCAACTGAGCCTGGCACAGAAACAAGAGTGGGTTTCGAGTCAACACCGCGAGGTACGTGAGGCGTTTAGAAACAAATGGTCGTCGAAGGCTGCAACTCGACCGGGCGGCGTGCCGTTAACTTGGACAAAGCCGTCGGTGGGTTGGTGGAAATTAAATACGGATGGATGCTACAAAGCGGCGAATCAAGCGGCTGGCTGTGGGGGCATGCTTCGGGACCATTTGAGCAGTTGGATCCAGGAGTTCACCCACAACATCGGCTCTTGCTCGATGGATGACACGGAAGCTTGGGCCGTTCTGATAGGGTTGCGAATGGCGAGCAGATGTGGAGCCAGGCGGTTGGTGGTGGAAAGTGACTCCTTGAGTATAGTGCGAAGCGTTATGGCGTGCCGCACAACAGGTAACGGCAGCAACATTGTGCAGCTCTGCGTTCGGGAAATAGGTGCCTTTCAAGAGGTTGAATTCATGTAACTTTCTGAACCCCAGACCACCCCTACACTCAGGGACACACAAACGGTTCCAGCTGAGCCAATGTATCCTCTGTGATTGGCACCACCACCACTCCACCAGTAGCGATTGAAGAGTTTCTCAATAGTGTCACACACACGAGCTGGCAAAAGAAAGGTGGACATAGTAAAAATAGCTAGTGCTTGAGCGATGCTTTTGAGCAAAATCTCCTTACCAACCTTAGACAAAAACTTGTGTTGCCAAGACCCGATCCGTTCCCGTACTTTATGTTCAATGAACCGAAAAGTTGCGGTCTTGTTCCTCCCTAAAGCCGATATTTGCCCAGATCATTTGCTTCGCGAACCCCAATGCATCCGGCCACCAGCTCTCGTGTTACATTGTTGGTATTATAACTGAAAACGGCGCTAGACTTATCATAATTTATCAGTTGCCCCGAGGCTGCACTATACAAGTCGAAACACTCCCTGATGGCCAATGCCTCGTTTTGATTAGCCCTGAAGAATAATAAACTATCGTCAGCAAAAAATAGCTGGGAGACGGTCGGGGCTCCCCGAGCGACTCGCACTCCGTGAATTGCTCCACTATATTCTGCTTGTTGTAAAAGCACAGATAATGCCTCGGCACCATTCACCTGAATGGAGTAACTTACAGTCGAGACACATAGCATCAACATCTCTACCCATACACGTGTAAATCAGACACCCTTTCCGGCACTTTTTTCTTTGGTATGAGGATGATATTTGAATCATTAAGTCCTTCTGGGAGCCATCTATCGGCAACACATTGAAGGACAAACATAGACAGGTCATGACCTATAACTGGCCAAAAATGTTGATAAAACGCCGGTGACATACCATCCGGTTTCGGAGCTTTCTCCGGGGCCATCGAAAAAGGACAGCCTTTACTTCCGGCATTGTAAACGATTGCAAAAAGACGGTATTTATCTCATCCGTTACAACCTTTTTTATCCGATTAAAAATATTCATTGACGTGTTTTCAGCTACTTTACAGCTTTTCAGCTACTAAGTCTGCCAAATGTAGCCTGATAATGTCACAATATTAGAGTATCTATGCTATAATTTAAGTGCGAAAATACTTGCAAGGGCACGATCGTGATTTCATTAGCCACTTTCCGTACTAAAGTTGTGTGCCGCGGCTACGAAAAGAGTTTTCCCGCTTTGAAAACGGATAGATCTGAGCTGTTGTGTACTGTTACCAAGGCACAGTAAAGATTTTTTTTTTTAAAATTTTTTTTTTCTGGTGGCAATTCTACTAAACTCTGTCTGAGAGCTTCGGCGATCCGCCGGCGGCCTCAAATTCACACCGCACTTTTTGAGCTCAGCCGCTAATTCCTGAAACCGCAGAAACTCAGATTTAATCTGGTCTGGTCGTCGTGGTCGAGCCGAGAGCTTTCTTCGCCATTACATGCCCAAGGTAAACCCCCGTTGACTCATATCTTAACATTTCAGTTGCTATTTGTATGTAATCTGGTTGCTTAAATGCCTTTTATCTGAGAAGCACCTCGTTGACTGTCTAGTTGATGAAATTAACACCCAAAAATAATAAGACAGTAAAATTCACTGCGCATATAGAGGATGTTTCGTTGAGATTTGAGAAAATTGAAGCCGACGAGTAGTTTTCTTTACGCCTTACACTTGTAATGTTGTGCATGAGAGGCATAGCCTATGGCCTAATCAAGGGAAAGCCACTGTTATG